ATGGGTTTTTGCAAAAGTTGGCTGGGCTTGGATGTTTTTCATCTTAAGAAAAGGCTTCCATCTTGCCACTCTACCCCCATAGCCCAGACATATGAAGAATATGGGAGATTATTTTCACATGTACCACACAACCCGTACTTGCCAGATATATTCCTGCAGATCCTTTAATATTGCTGTAGGCCTTTTGGCAACCTCCCAGACCAGTTGCCTTTTCAGCAATGTTGGAGGGGCGTCCAGTTCTTGGTAATGTCACTGTTGTGCCGTAGTTTCTCCACTTGATGACTGTCTTCCATGGTATATCTAATGCCTTTGAAATTCTTTTGTACCCTTCTCCTGACTGAAACCTTAACAACGAGATTCCTCTGATGCTTTGGAAGCGATCTGCGGACCATGGCTTTTGCAGTAGGATGTGATTAAGAAAATGTTAGGAAAGACCTACTAGAAGAGCTTAACTTTTATTTGGGGTTAATCAGAGGCACTTTAAATGATGGCAGGTGTGTACTGGCTCCTATTTAACATGATTGCTTAATTCTGAACATAGCTACATCCCCAGTTTGAAGAGGGTGTGCACACTTATTAAAAAATAAAAAAACAATATGATTGCATGTTTACTTTCTAACATCCCCCCCGAGAAGATTTCAGTTTGTTTTTCAAATTAGTTGTATAGTTTATAGGTCACATTAAAAAGGTGGAAATAGTTCTGAAATTATTTCTGTCATTTTTTTACATCACAGATACCTGACTTTTTTTTTTTTTTTTTTGGGGGGGGGGGGGGGGGTGTTAACCCCACTACAACAGGTGATTATAAAAGCACACTGCTGCTACTAAATGTCTTATTATCCCATACAGGACTACATTTTTGGATGAGAATATTCATATAAATTTGTATGAAATTATTTTCTATATTTAATAGATGAATGTTGTTCAGAAATTATTCATTTTAAAACTGCATTTTAAAAGCAAATGACATTTTTGAACAAAAAACCACATCCACGGGTCTGAACATTTGTTCAATCAAGAAGTTTTCTATTCTGCTCCTTCAAAGTTTCCCATCATTGTGGTTAAAAAAAAAAAAAAAGTCAGTTTGACTCCACTGATTAGAAAATCATATGATCTATCTTAAAATGAAAATTTTGTTCATGTATGGCCATCATAAAGCTGGGTACACATGTTCCTGTTGAACCGGCTGACATTAAGACCATGTATACAGCTATCTTTCCAACAGAAGCTGCTCTAAGGACCAGCTTTTGTCAAAAGGACATGCTACAGTCACTTTTGCAGTTTCACAATCCTGTGAATCCAGTCGACCATGTTGACTTATAACTGCCTCTACAGTTTCTGGGAAAATGTTGTCTGAATCATAACCTTTGATAGTGTACATTGCAACATGGCAAATTGGCAACTTCAATCACAGAGGCACCAGCTCAGCAACACCAATTTGCCCTATATGAGCTATGACATTTCTAGCAATGCATGACGAAAGTGAGGCTGTTAGCTATGTCTCAGCACACAGTGGAAGCAAAAGGAGTGTTACATCACTTTCTATTTCAATGCAAAAACATGTCATAACTTCCACACCTGCAAATCATGTAGTTTTTTCATTTCTAGCAGCCATAGAAACAGAACAAATTGATGAGGACTAGGAGTCAGTGCTAGGAGACTGCCCAACCCCAGGCTCCTATAAACCTCCACACAAAATGCTTGCAAACAGATATGCTCACTTCCGCTAAGTGCAAAAGCCTCAACCTTGTTACACTTGAGTCTCCTCCATCTCAGGATGCCCTCTTGCAGGTAGGTCTTTTATTACCCAAAGTCTAAGAGGACATTCCCCATTGCTGAACAAATAAAATGCGCAATTTATGACAAGTGGAGCACTCCTTAAAAGATCTTTACTCTGCAGAGAAGCCTTGAACTACCGTATTTTTCACTCCATAAGACACACTTCCCCCCACCCCAAAAAATGGGAGAAAATGTCTGTGCGTCATATGGAGCAGCTAGCCCAGTGTTCCCGCTGCCGTGTTAGAATACCAGGCCAGCCACTGGGCTCTTCTGGGCAGCAGAACCTGCTCCTCAGTCCTACCTGTTCCACGATCCAGCGGTGTCCTCACAGTCTTCTCTCCCAACACGCCGGTATCTTTAGGCACCTGGCTGTGATAGCTTGCAGCTTGACAGCCAGGTGCCCACTGCGCATGCACAAGGAGCGTTGCGCTTTGTGAATGGTCCAGTAGTCTTCTGGGACCTGGCAGGTGTCCCAGAAGACAGGGAGGGAGGACAACTCTGCAGAAGTGGGAACGGGTACCTGTCAAATTCAGATACCCGCTCCCAAAAGGTCCACAGTCTCTGGTCATCTCCTTCTCATGTCTGCAGTGCATTGGTTCAGAAATTTTTTTTGTTTTTCCTCCTCTAAAACCTAGGTGCGTCTTATGGAGCGAAAAATACGGTATATCCAGTGGAAAAAAGAATTGTACTTACAGTCCACTTTTTAGTAAAGACCCGGTTGTCTTAGTCTTGTGTAAACCTCTTACTGAGCTTGAAGATGTTCCTTCATGTAAAAATTCTATGGGTGATAGCAGAGGCCCGATTTAGTAACATGTTATGCTGTGAATACTGGTGTAACGTTATGAAAGGTCAACTTATCCTTGAAAGCAGGGATGTCAAACTGGCGCCCCGCCAGCTGTTCTGAAACTACAAGTCCCATGATGCCTCTGGGAGTCATGCTTGTAACTGCCAGCCTTTCAATGCCTCATGGGACTTGTAGTTTGGCAACAGCTGGAGGGCCGCCAGTTTGACACCCCTGCTTTAAAGGATCTGAGAAATGCCTGACCTGAGAAATGAGCTGATGAATCCACCTTGAAATATTAGAGAAGCAGCCTGATCTTTGATTCCCTGTTGGTTCTGCCTGAAGGTTCTAACAAACTATCAACATAGAGTTTATCTGACATATACAGCTTTAACAACATCCAAAAAAGTGTAGAATTTTAGGGTAGTTTCTTCATTCAACCTGAATTAGTACATTAGGACAAAAAGATGACAACATAAATAGGAAAGAAAAACATCTGCACTCAAACCATATAAATTACCAGTAAATGCAGCAGCTGTCTCTACCCAAATGGAATTATTTTTTTGCTGTGAAATGTTATGACAGGGCTACTGTATAAAAAAATATATATATATATATACGAGCAGATAATACGATAAAGTCTAAATTAGTCCAAAATAAATCAATTGAGTAAAAAGGTGCTCTAGTGCTCTTCGCAAAGTTCATACATAAATGCCACAACTTTTTAAAGGTCCATTTTATCCATGCAAATCACCCTGTGCACTTGTGTGACTTTCCACCACACACCACGCTCACTAGATGGTGTGACCCCCTGTTCGCAAGTCAATGCACACTTTCTGGAGCCCAATATACTCCAAAGGAATGCCAAGAAACCCTCACTTATCCAGATGCTTCACCCCCTCCAGGGACCATGGCAAGATAAAATAAAGGGTATTCTCAGTGTTTACGGTTTATTAAAATATGGCAAGTTAAAAGCAATGTATGCACGTACAAAAATACAGTGGTTTGAATCTGCACATTTTAGGCCTGGTAACTATAATATTCTAAAGTGTGCAAAAAAAATAACTGTAAAAATGGCTCTTGTGAAAACAGGTCCAGAAAAAGCTAGCAAATGGGTCCCTAAAGGTAGGTGCATCCTGCACTGGTAACCAATTTGTTAGGATGAAGCATGGCCAGATCCACCATAGGAACAAACCATTTCTGCCCAAAATCCTCACAATTGGGATACGAGGCTAACAACTGCTTGGAAGGACCTTGATAATTTGTTTGCTCCTCCAATCTCCATACAGAAAACAGGGAGCTCAAATGGAAAGTCTTCATACCCTTAGGATTTTTTAAAAAGGCCCAAGAATGGAACACTGATAGAAGCAACAGGCTAATCCTCTATTACCATCACTCCTAACTAATGGAGATCATTTTAACACTTATACACACCACTCTAAAACTAGACTGCAGTTCCTTAGGGGTAAGTTTATCAGTTATAGATCTGAGTGTGTTAAAATCAGACAGACAGTCTCTGTGACTGATGACTCCGATGATGTGGATAAATAAATTATAGAATTTGCAGGAGAGGCCACACAAGCATACTTTTAGCTCATACAGCCAGAGTCAGAAGAATTTCCATACAGCTATGAAGTAACCCATATAATCTAGTAATTTGCTAACTGCAGAAAAAACCTCAGTCATGTGGGTAGAGGACCCAGCTACACCTCATGGAGCCAGAGAGGGTAGGATAGACTCTAAGATCAGAGGACAACATGACTCAAGATATCAGCACCATCAGCTCCATTCTGTGGGAAACTGAGAATAGCAGCAACCAATGAAAATGAGGTAACTCCCAGTGCTTGGCCCAACTGGCCTGCTCACAAAGCGAGTCTTCAGAGAAAGGGCAAGCACCAAGGCAATGCCAACGGCTTTAGACCTGAAAGCACTCCAAAGCTAACTGAACCTGGTTTAAAATAAATCTAACTAATATTTAGAATTATACATAATATACAAATATTAGATTAATATATATATTATAAAAAATAGATACAATTATTTTTTATTATAAATATTGATAATCAGCATATCCAATTTATATAAATATATACAGTATATATAGTCAGATAGTGTCAAAAGTGTAGTAGGAAGTGTTACAAATCAGAGGCAAGCAGAATCCTAAACCCAATCCTGCCTTAGTGCCATTGGGACCAGCTCATTTCAGAAGCAATACAGATATATCAGTGCACAATACCAACGTATAAACAGTTGGGTAAAGTCAAATAATATTTACAAGACTGTTTACTATACATTATCGAATAATAATTATTGCACATCGATCAAATAAAATACTAACATTTGCTGTAAAAATAGTGTCAGAAGTCTTTAAAACAAACATGACAAGAAAAAAAGCACTTAAGAAAAAAATACATTAAAATTGTGCTTATGTTAAATAATTTTATCTTTCTAATTTTTCCAGCAAGATCTCATTAAATCCTGATACACTGCAGTTAAATGCCTCAGGACATATATTGGCAAAATGCAACGGCGACTTCTTGCAGTGGAACTTGATGCGTCTCTGATAGAAAACAGGAAAGAAAAAAAATAAAGAGTTTAGAGATGCCTATTCACAGATTAGTTGGAATCAACATCATACCTGGCCATACATGTCTATGGTCAGACCACTGGAACTATCATCACTCATTTTCCGTCTACACTGCTTGAGAATACTCTGCACTCCAGCACATGTACATGGGATCAAAGTGCCATGTAACTAGTAAGTAGCTAGCGCATGGACTTAAATTAGTTGCATTAGAACTGCACTGTCTGGCAGGACCTAGGCTTAGCAGGCTGAAATCTTTTACCATTTCTATTCATGCTAATAAACATTATTGTGGCATAGCTCTACTATATTTCACATTCAGCTGACATTAATCTTGACCCTAATATGTAATCTAAATTTAGGGCCATAGCACACTTGTGATTGTTACTGGTACAATAAACCAGCGTCAGGATCTTTATACAAGGCTCTGTACAATATTCTAGTATCCTTACATAGGCCAGCAATGGCACCCTCTGTATTCCATTTACACTCAGCCCAAAACATAACCTAAACCCAAGCTTTAACCTTAACCTCCTAACCTTACCTTAAAGGGAACCAGTTATAAGTGAAACACGAAAGCTAGCATTGCTGAGCTCTCCTTCTGAGAATTCTGCTTATCTGGCTATTAATGTTAACTATCTAGCGTCAGTGTAGATTAAAAGAGAATTATCTGATGTCCAATACAGAAGAAAAGCAAACCACTTAGGCTGTGCTATGGTCTAAATGGGTGCAGCCAAATGAAAGTGAATAGCACATGTAGCTCTATTTGCAAGCAGCTTTTTGCTCTCAGGAGATATTGCTCAGAGACTTGCTGCCCTTTACTAGCCATCTACTCGTGGTTGGTTCTTAAGAGAAGTAAGCTTTTGTGTGTATATGCGATACAGTCAGCAAATGGAATCCCTGCTAAAGTTTAAAGGTTCTTCCGCTTTGGTCTACAATTAGGATGGAGATCTATCAGTACGGATGGATCCCCATCTTGTTTCAGTGTATTCAGAAACTCCAATATCAACTTTCATCTACAATGGTAAAAGGCATAACATCCAGAAAGATAGCATTTTAAAAAATGACAGCAATAGCAGCCTCCTTATTTCTGTTATAGATGTCATTTGCAAAGATCAAGAGTGGCGATTTAAAGAGTCCCTTTCACAAAGTTCATACTTCTTCATTTGAAACCACGTTTCATTACAGAAAAAATAAAATACTTGTGCTGCCAGGAGTCTTCTGATTTACCTATATAATTGCATTGCTTGTAATTGCATTATGCATTGCATACGTTAACAGCAATCCAACACTTGGTCCATCCAATCCAATCATCTACCAGCTCTCCCATCATATCACTTTGCTACCAGTTTAATGGTATTTTTCTGGGACAAACCTAAGAGCAAACTCTTCCTGCAAGTTAAGGGCATAATGTGCTAGTATGCATCATGCCCCTCCAGCAGCATGCTTTCACCACAGTGAGAGCTTCCGTCTTCAGCCAGTCTTCCTTCCAGGTTCATGGGCTACAGCTGTTCAAATGACGTCACTCCCACACATACACACAGGAGTCCCATAAGAGCACATGCAAGGGTGAGGTCACCTGCTGCAGAAAATGTGAATATCTTTTAAATGTGCATATTCCTTGTACCTAGGAGGTAACTTTTATTATAAGGTTATCTATAGGTACCAGTGTCCAAGTGGTGTTTACTACAGCTTTACGACTGAAAGTGAGCTGTAAAACTCCTTTAGAGGGCTCTGACAGCTCTAGTGCTCTGCAGCATGCTGATAGTGTGTCTAATTCCTGTTAACTTTGATATACTCCATTGTCTTGAAATTGCCAACAATGCAGAGAACAAGAGGCATCATGGATATCTTTTATTTTTGTTGTATTGAAAGGTGGCTTAAAATTAAGACATGCAAAACTGGCAGGATCTCTTTCATCTCAACCTAATTTGCTACTTTCCAGATCTGTAACAAATTTTCACAGAATGAAAACTTCCATATTTCTCATCTAAAGGATAAATTCACCTTTCTGAAAAAATTATAAATGCACATATTTTTGCAAACAAAAAAATTGTGCACCTACAGTTGTGTTCAAAATAATAGCAGTCAGATATCACTAACCTGATCAATCACTGTTTTTGGTAGAAATGATATTTCTACATGGCAAATAATTTACTAGCAGGTGTAGTAGAGTGATAGAAATCCAACAGACCCAATAGTCATGACATGCATGCTGCTGATTCTGTGTAATTGAATCACTAACTGAAAGGGGCATGTTCAAAATAATAGCAGTGTGGAGTTCTATTAGTGAGGTCATTCATTCTTTAAATAAGGGCAATAATTGCCACCTGTTTTTCAAAGAAGGAAGGCAGCAAATGTTGTACATGCTGGTTACAGTGCATTTCTCTCTGAAATTCTGAGGAAAATGGGTCATTCCAGACATTGTTCAGAAGAACAGCGTACCTTAATTAAAAAGTTGATTGGAGAGGGGAAAAACATATAAAGAAGTGCAGAAAATGATAGGCTTCTCAGCTAAAATGATAGCAAATGCTTTAAAATGGCAACCAAAACCTGAAAGACGTGGATGAAAGCGAAAAACTACCATTCGAATGGATAGAAGAATAGCCAAAATGGCAAGGACTCAGCCAACAATCAGCTCCAGGAAGATCAAAGAAGGTCTAAAGTTACCTGTGAGTACTGATACAATTAGAAGACGCCTATGTGAAGCCAAGCTATCTGCAAGAAGCCCCCGCAAAGTCCCACTGTTGAAAAAAAAAACGTGTGCTGAAGAGGTTACAATTTGCCAAAGACCACATTGACTGGCCTAAAGAGAAATGGCGCAACATTTTGTGGACTGATGAAAGCAAGATTGTTCTTTTTGGGTCTAGTGGTCGGAGACAGTTTGTCAGATGACCCCCAAACACTGAATTCAAGCCACAGTACACTGTGAAGACAGTGAAGCATGGTTGCGCAAGCATCACGATATGGGGATGTTTCTCATACTACAGTGTTGGGCCTATTTATCACATACCAGGGATCATGGATCAGTTCGAATACATCAGAATACTTGAAGAGGTCATGCTGCCTTATGCTGAAGAGGAAATGCCCTTGAAATGGGTGTTCCAACAAGACAACGACCCCAAACACACCAGTAAACGTGCAACATCTTGGTTTCCAGACCAACAAGATTGACGTTATGGAGTGGCCAGCCCAATCCCCGGATCTTAATCCAATAGAAAACTTGTGGGGTGACATCAAAAATGCAGTTCTGAGGCAAAACCAAGAAATAGAGAAGAACTGTGGAATGTAGTCCAATCATCCTGGGCTGGAATACCTGTTCACAGGTGCCAGAAGTTGGTTGACTCCATGCAACACAGATGTACAACAGTTCTCAGAAACAGTGGTTATACAACTAAATATTAATTAAATGATTCAAAGGAAAGCAAAATCTTCAAACATCTTTCAGTTTATATAGTGAATGTTTGAGTTTGTAAAGAAGAATACAAACACTGCTATTTTTTTTGAACAGTCTAATATTCACTTTTCTTCAATTTTTTTAGAGGAACAACACAAATTTGATATATTTCTCTTGATTTGGAATAGAATGTGTAATGTTCCCAATGCATTTGTGTGTATGGAAATAAAAGCTATTAGAAGGATTTTGAGCTTTATTCACTTTTTTCAACACACTGTATTATTTTGAACACAACTGTATATTGTTTTTCCTGCAGGAGCCTGGAAAGCATTGCACATGTGATCAGAGGTACAATTTCAGGTTTCCAAAGACAAGCCCTGCAGCTTTCTGCTCATACAGGCTGTCTTTTGAAAGCTGCAGGGATTGTGAAATAACTACGAGAACGCTCATCAGCGACTTTGCAGTTTAAGGACTACGAGCCATCATCCATGGTGGCTGACAGTACTGTGTACAGTACAGGAAAACTGTAATAATGAATGACGCTGCTGTGTGGGTGCACAAAAAGTGACAGAGACTGCTCTATGTTACTGCCTAATAGCAATATTAAGTTGGGGCCCACTTTTGATTTAAGCAGAAACTACCTTTTAGTATGAAACACGGAAAAAAATAATAAATAAATCTAATAAAAGAGTGTAACATTATTACCTGAGGTAATGCTCGGATGGATGCTATGCCATGTTCTGATTGAATAAATTCTGCCTTGTAACCCTTATTTCTGTTAAGCACATTTAAGCATGCCAGGAGATACCAATGCCTGTGAAACCCATCAGCTATTACGATCTTCCTGATTGGTGGAGCACGAGACAACACAAAACCAAGATTCCAGGACTGAACCACTTCATTTGTGATCAATGGGTTGTCTTGCATGGAATTTGTTATTGAAGTATTCAGAACTTTAGCTGGAGACCCAGATAATGATTGCGTGTTTTCCATCTCCAAAATATCATCAAGCTCAACCGCCGCTAAGGCTTCCAGTTTTTCCTACAGAAAATGCAAGAATTCCTTAAGACGTCAAAACAAATGCACAACAGAATTATGGCTAATGCTCATAAATGAGCCCTGACATTTTAAAGCAGTACTGCAAAGATAGGCACAACTTTTCCAATATAATGCAGTCCTATTTGATGGGGAGTTACTATTAATTAAATATAAAAGGTGATAAGAGATGAAATAGCTTAAACCAGGACTACACTTTATCTGAGAACCACAAACCAAAAGCGCTATTTCATCCATTTTTAATATTCACAGAAAACTCACCCATCCATGTCTCCAAGCTTTATTTTGAGGAGATATCACTTAGAAAAAATACCCCCTAGCATTTCTGGCCATGGCCATTTTGAGTAAGGGCAGATGCTTCATGTAGCAATTACTTCCTGGAATCCATATACCCTTAGCTCAGGCATAGCGGCAGGAGGGTGTGCTTAACTGAATAAACCCCTCCTCCCCTCCTGAAGACTCTTAGGATGTAGACCTCATTAGCCTAGGCATAGAAACTAGGCAGTAACTAAAGAAATGTAAAAAACAGTTTTAAAACGGGCAAATATACTTTCATATCTATTTACTAATGCCAACAGCATAAGGATTCAAAATAGACAATGACGATTTGAGTAAAATTTTCTGAAAAAAAAAATATATCTCTCTTAAAAAGAAAGTTGCAAGAGAAATTGGTTTGTACAGCTGGAGTTTCTTTGGCTGTTTTTTGACAAGCAAATCTTGCATATATCTTTGCTGACTTCATAAAGAAGAACTTTAGACATAGTGGTCTAAGAGGTACACACAGGTAGTTTTTCCTCGTTCCGCCTGCTGCAGAGCTTGCTGCACTAACTATGCAATGTTAGAGCACAATAGCTCAGCATAGTTTTGGCTAAAGTTGGGCTTTAAATATTTGTAAAACAATGATTTTAAAACACAAAAAAAATATATAAAATTTAGACATCAGTTATACGGTACAACTTATATGCTTACATAATCTAAATCTGTTTTGAGAGACAATGCAGGCTACCATTGTTGTCCTCCGAATGGTTTGTTACCTGGCAGGCATACTATTCCAATGGCTTATTTTCTATTAGCTGCTGACTGGTAAAGGCAGATCTCAAGTCCGTCATACATGTTCCAGGTCAGCATGACAGCCAGGTAACTAACAATGGCAGCCTAAATATTTCTCGGATTCCTTTAACAAAAGCTAATGCCTACTATCATGCAGCAGTAAGATGCGTATTTTGAAATCCATTGTTACCTTCCATTTCTTCCATGCCCTCTTAATGACAGCTGCAGCCTGATGCATTCTTTCAATGTGCTTCCTTGTAAGCCAGCCCCTGGCAACTAGATGACAATGAAATAAATGTGCATGCAGTGAAACTGACTGTGCAGATAAGCTGTCACATAAATTCTGATAATATAGGTCAGGGTTGGTAACAGAAGCATGTAACTAAGCAAACCGTCTATAAAAACACAGGTCTCTGTGAGCAGTGTGTAGAGACCACAAAATACAGATCAACCCCATCATACTACCTGCTTGGATAGATGTAGCCGCTCGCCTTTGCCTGGCTAGCTTCTTTTGTCTGTATCTTCTCCAGCAGCACTGAATACAGAATGCTCTCTGGGAGAAAGCTCGCTCCCTTTGCTTTTCAAGTATGTCTATCTATTAAATATTAAAAGAAATTACCATAACATGCGAGCCAAGGCCTGTGTTTGACAGAAACATTTAAAAGTAAGTAGCTAAAGGTGACTAGTATAATGAGGCAAGATTTACAGAGAAGAACGACCTAGCACTAAAGAAACCTATCTTTATGGAATATGCAACATTCACTACGTGAATCAGTGGTACTGTATACATTTATGGGCCGATACCAGAGGAAGGACCATGCTCATTGTAGAAATCAAGCACATTTTTTTTTTAACCTTTGTTTAAAGATGATCAGATGTAGCTATCAGTAAATGTATTTTGCTTGCCAATTGACCCCTTCTGGCAGCTAGCAGTAGGTTTTGATTAGCAATAGGAGATGCACTGTAGCTGAACAAAAACATTCAGCAGGGCTTACCCAGTCATTAGTGCAGTATTGCCCGGTACTGGGCTTTAGGAAATGGCATAACCATCCTCATCAAATCTTCAAAACAAAAATCAGGAGAATGGTATAGAGCACAAAGGACACTCAAATTATATATATTTATGACAGGTCAAAAATATATACATGGCCTTTCCTAGAGGTGAAAGACACTTGAGATGTTACATGGTAAGGTTAAGAAGACTAGGGCCATACACACAACCTTTTTAAGAGGTGAAAGATACTTTGGATGTTACATGGTGAGGTTAGAAAGACTAGTGTCATATACATAACCTGTCCTAGAGGTGAAAGAATTTGATACGGTGGGCTAAAATGAGAAAATATACGACAAGACTCTTGAAGTAGCAGATTGGCATTATATGATCTTTCTAAGGCCTCATGCACACAGAGTTTGCTTGAAAGAGAGAGATTGATCTACATATCTATCTATCTATCTATCTATATATATATATATATATATATATATATATATATATATATATATATATATATATATATATGTATATGAAGGCCAGTTCATAATAAATTATTTTTGTTTTTATATATATTAGGACATTTCTGTGACACTCGTACGGATCAAAATCAACAATGAACATGGGTCGGTCGTTCGAAAAAAAAAAAGTTTTAACTGAAATGTGCATGAGCAGTAGGAGTAATAGTAGTATTCGATAGAAAAAAAAAAAAAAAAAAAAATGGTTTAAAGTTGGAAAAAAAAAAAAAACAGGAAAAATATTGAAATTCACAGGATAATTACCAAAACAAGTGAATGGCCTGTTAAATGTTAGATCAAAAGAACCTTTTAGATTTATTGTTCAAATCTTCATTTGTTTTTCTATGCATGTATGGCCAACTTTATACTACATATTGCACCTGTTCACAGTGTATCTCATTCACTTCTCTTCTCATTCTGAGAAGAGAAGTGCAAATGTTAATAAACTGGCTCTCCTCAGAGCTTTATACACTGAGAAGGGTCACAATGTGTAAGGCAGGAATCATCTTAAGTTTCTTAAATGTACACCAAAGTATAAATGTAAAACAATAAAAAAAAACAGCTCCTTACCACTGTGTGTGTGAGGAACACTTTTGTGGGTACCGCAGTGGGCTAGTGTGTTGGTTGATGTAGCATCTACATATAATTTTGGCAAAGCAGCTTCCAGGATCTTTTGTGACTTATTTTGCAAATCATTGCCCCCGTCCTCTAAATTAGGACCTGAAAGAAGCAGAAACAAATACTGTATCATTTTTATGTGCTTACTTCAGTTGCTGGTGGGACACAGGGAAATGCTTTCCAAACAAATAATAAATTACATATTTTAAATCAAACATGGTTAAAGAAAACCTATTCTGAGAAAATATAGAGACTGCCATTTCTTACATCTCTTGTTAAAGAAAGGCTAGTTTCCTGGCTGTCATGCTGAGCCAATGGCTTAAGTATAATTGAAATCACTGACTTAGAACAAGTATGCAGATTAGGAGTACCGATTTCATTGTTCCAAGTGCGTGTTTTGAAAACTACTGAAGAGTTTAGTAGAAAAAGGCACTGGATCTGAGGATACTGAAATTTTCATTATGAGTTGAGCCATCACTGTGACAAATAAGCTGCCCTCTACCATCTTAAAGTCATCTTGGGCATACCTTTAAGTGGCAAAAGAAGTGGACTGCCAAAAAGGTAAATCAATGAGTTGGTTAAATGCAATTAAATCACATTGATTAAAAGTTCATATTCAAAACATTTCAGAGGTTACGGAATCCCAATTCTTCAGGGATAATGTGTAAAATTGCCCATCTGCATTCATATGTTAGCTTTGGAAAAGGGACCAGCCCTTAAATTCACTGTATACCAACTTTTGATAAATGCAATTGATTCCACTTGACCAATTCATGTTTTTGGTGCTCCGTCTGTCTTTGATGCTTCAGAACATACTGAGGCAGCCAGGAAGCTAGTATTTTCAGAAAAAGGTTACCAATGGCATTATTCATATTTCTCTCAGTAAAAAGGGTACTCATTCTTAGCTAGTTTGGGACCCACAAATACAGGCTTCTCGTTGGGAAAGCATTTGTTTGTGCATTCTAAAGCCCATGTTTTTTTAATATCACTGTACAAGCTATGATGGAGCGTAGAAGCAATCAAGTCTTTCTACATCCTCAGCTGCCCACATACCAATCCCACCTCTCAGATAACCATTTAATAGCAGTGTGGTCTCTTTACCCAACCAGTCCTCACAGTACACAACTGCTGTTAAATTGTATTCATTTGACAGCATATGGACAGATTTAGTGTGTGCAATCTACAAAATATGATTTTGGCCTGGTTTCTGTGCGCTATTGTACAAACTAACCTTTACACTATTATGACACTGCATAAACCGATTAGTGTATGAACTGTATACAGCACATTGTTCACAATGGAAATAGTATAGTGTATTCAATGTGTTGAGAAACATACATTTACAAAGTAACAGTGTCAATATAAGTGTGAGTGTTTTCCACTTGACATGTACTCCCTTTTGATTTTTTTTAAGATCAGATGTGTTCAAGGGTCTAATGCATACTATAATAAATACAATGTTGAAAATAGAATATACTGTGGTCAATTCAATAAGAAAATAACCCAAATTCTTTAGGACAGCCAAATATTTACCTCAACTTCATGTAATTATAAAAAGGCTTGATCCATTCAGGATGTACACAGGATAGTAACTAGTAAGAGAAGCAGGAACAAGAGAAGATGAAAATATAGTAAAGAGAAAAGTGGTAGAAGACAGTATGATAAGAGAAGTAAAGCCATGAGCATGCATATTTGACTTTCCTTGTTCATCTTGATGCTTTAAATTTATATCAGACACCACAAGATCACCATGCTACTAGAACAGTGTTGTTAGATTTAGCACAGAAAAGCATAAATTACATATGTGTATGTTCTAAAATTACATATGTGCATGTTCTAAGAATAATGTATAAACCACAATGCCCTAAAAACTGAACTCCAAACAGATATAAAAGCTTCATTTAAAATAATTAAGTAATCATTAATGTGTACAGTATGTCAAGCCAAAATCTTTTTTTTTTTTTTTTTTTTTTGTTTTAGATAGAGTGGGGAGGGGTTAGAAACCTTGGTTTTTACGGCTGTTTGAAGCTCTAAGAGATGTAACCTCACTTCCTGTCTTGCCGACAATGGGATTGATTTAATAAAAGGTAAATATACTGTTAACTGCAAGTGCATTTCAAGGGCACTGCAAGTGCAGTTGCTTTAGATCCGAGGGGAAGCTCTGAAATGAGGCAAAGCTCTGCTGATTTCTTTCATCCAATAATGTGAAAGCAAAAATGCGTGTTTTTTATTTTCCTTACATGTTCCCCTCAGATCTAGAGCAACTGCACTTTCAGTGCACAGCCTATTTGCCTTTAGTAAATCAACCCCAATGTTTACCAGATGGGAATTTAGGGAACAGGGACACAGAAAGAAATAAAAATCTGGCAGGAGTTCTTGCCTTCCCCTACTTTGCCAACCTCAACACAGACAGAATTAAAAAAGTTTTACCTTTCTAAACTGCACTGACTTGCCATCTGGTAAACAGGAAGGATGAGAGTACGTTGTAAATTGCTCTTATGGATCCTCAGATAGCAGTATAACCTGCATGGCTTCTAATTCTTCCCTGCTCTAATCAAAACTTTAAAAAGAAAAAAAAAAAAAAAAAAGGAAGAAGCTTTGGGTGGACATACTTTAAATTAATTATGTGCATCCTCAAATATAGAAGATATTGGTATCCAAATGTGTCTTATATCTGTTTCCTGAAAACCTCTGCACAGAAAATCTCAGGAAACAATCATTACCTTGGAAACCCTTACATATACAATTTGATTGTGCCTAAAAATAAGAATAAAGACTTAAAGCTGAAGTCTGGTAAAAGTATTTTGGCTCCAGCTTCATGTGAGTTCAAATCATTTACACAGAATGGCAGCTTTCACTTACATTTATATATTTTTTTTAATATAGTTTTATTAGAAAGATTTCACAGGTTACAGTATAGTAGGGCATGCACGGTATAGTATTCAGGGTAGAAAATGAATCAATACAAAGATGAGCTAAAGAAAGCCACATATCATATGCACAAGGTTATAAAAGTATCTGACATGAAACCTAGTGTTCAACAAAGCAAGTGGTACTGGCATTATCCTGGTGGCATGTAGTCAACCATTGGTCGTTAGGCTATAGTCTTGAATGTAGTGTTTTTGTGGGGGGGGTTTTAGGTTAAAGAATGGAGCTGGAAGTTTTCCCTGACTTCACTAAGGTGCAGTGCAAAGTACAATAGGAATCGGAGATTTTAAACGTAACCAAATGCAGTTAAAGTGGAACGTCACACTCTCAGTCAACAGTGACCATGTATAAACCAGTCCACGCTTATGCTGCTAGCATTCGTAAATAGGACTTTTTTTTTTTTTTTATATTTCTTCAGTTACTTCTTGATTTTCTTAGCAAACAATGTCATACATTCCAGGAGTCTTCAGAAGGGGAGGAGGGGTTTTCTCAGCTAAGGTCACCCTCCTGCCTACATGCCTGTTCTAAAGGGAGATGGATTCCAGGATGTAAATGCTACATGAATCATCTATCCTTTTCAAAAATGGCCAGAAATGCTAGGGGGTGTTTTTCAAAGTGGTCTGAAACATGAAGTGATGGGTGAATCTGCTTGAATATTAAAAATGAATTAAATAGCTGTTTTGGTTTGTGGTGCTCAAATACTTTGCAGTTCCACTTAGAATGGTGCTGGTTGCTAAACTTTTCCCTATTGTTCTTTTCAATATTATATTGAATAAGTCTGCCTGACAAACAAATGTATTTTGGTTCGTGATATTACCTCGTCTTTTCTTAGCAGGTGAAAGGTCATTTTATGTGGTTGTGCATTTCCATCCTTTGTTGACTGGGTGCAACCAAACCATAGCGCTCCACAAAGCTTTGGAAAGAAATCCTTAAAAAGGACATTTGTAAAAGAAATTGTAATACATGTATATCTAACAAAAATTCTAAGTACAGTATACAACATACAGATCTTTCTATACAATGCATTTCGAACAGGCATTTGTCAAATTAAAAATAATCCTTTTCATTGACCTGATAATTTTTCCCCCTTATGTGTATAAATTCTCCAGAGGTTTCTACAACAATTACAATATTAACATTCTTCTCTCCATTACTCTACTAATGCTAGCCTTTTCAAAAAGACACTTTATAGTGTTTACTTTTTATTTTTACTACGGAATATGATAAAATAATTTAATATTTAAGCAGGTACATTTTAATTAATCAGGTAAATAATAATACTGCTTGCAAATATTTTATATTTACAACCTGCAGTCAGCAGGTGTAAGGATCTCTGTACGCTCTAAAGATTCTTTCCTACTGCTTTTATTCTGAAAGTAGGCCCAAGTCAAAGACATACTCTCTTCCCTAGCAAATACACATGGATTTTTAATATGCAGTGGATATAAAAAGTCTACACACTCCTGTAAAAATGCCAGGTTTTGAGAAAATCAGGCCACTATAAGTCACTTCAGAATTTTGAGCAATTCAATTAAAACAAACAAACCGTTAAAGGGTAAAAAAAAAAAAACCCAACAACATAACTTAGCTTAATGGGGTACATATTTGTGAAACCACATTATTGTAATACTTTGTTGAAGCACCTTTTGATTTTGTGCCAGCATTCAGTCTTTTGGGGTAGGAGTCTATCAGCATGCCCACATCTTGCCTTGGGAATCTGTGTCCATGCTCCAAATCTGTCAGATTGTGAGGGCATCTCTGGTGCACAGCCCTCTTCAGGTCACCTCACAGATTTTCGATTGGATTCAGGTCTGGGCTCAGCTGGACCATTCCAAAATGTTGATCATCTTCTGGTGAAGCCATTCTTTTGTTGAGGTATACTTTGGGTAATTGTCATGCTGAAAGGTGAAATTCCTCTTCATCTTCAGCTTTTTAGCAGAAGCCTGAAGGTTTTGTGCAATAATTGACTGAAATTTGGAAATGTCCCTCCACCTTGACAAAAACCCCAGATCCAGCTGAAGAAAATTAGCCCTAAAGCAGAATGCTGCCACCACCATGCTTTAGTCTTGGTCTTATTAGACCATAACACATTTTCCCACATGCTTTTGGCAGACATGATGTAGATTTTTGCAAAACGTTGCCAGACATGGGTGTTTTTCCTAATAAGAAAAGGCTTCTGTCTTGCCGCCCTTACCTACAGCCCAGACATATGAAGAATATGGGAAACTTGCCAGAAATTCTGCAGATCTTTAATGTTGCTGTAGGCAGTCTCCCAGACTAGTTTTCGTCTTTTTTTTAAAATCTATTTCAAAGAAACCTCCAAATCTTGGTAATGTCACTGTTGTGCCATATTCTCTTCACTTGTTAATAACCATCTTCAATGTGTCTCATGGTATATCTAAAGCCTTGGAAATTTTTTGCACCTTCTCCTGACAGATACCTTCGAACAATGAGATCCCTTTGATGCGTTGTAAGCTCTTTGCGGACCATGGCTTTTGCTGGAAGATGCAACTGAGTAAATGTCAGAAAAATCTGAAATATTTATATGGCCTTAATCAGAGTCACTTTCATTGATGGCAAGTGAGTACAGACTACTATTTAAAGCGTTATTAAACCCAAAAATGTATTATATTGAAACTTGCCAATCACTAGATGTGGTGGCTGCATCAGTTTTTTTTCATTGGCTTCCCACCCCCCTTGTTTTCACCTAGTGATCTGGCCAGTAACTCACCTCCAGTATTTTTACATACTGTCACCAGTCAGTGTCCCTGATCACGGCCACACAATGAACATACCAGACAGGTCAGGGATAAAATTGGGGAGAAGTTTAAAGCAGGGTTAGGTTATAGAAAAACATCCAAAACTTTCAAACATCTCAAGGCGCACTGTTCAATCCATCATCTGAAAAAGGAAAGCGTATGGCACAACGGCAAACCTACCAAGACATGGTCGTCCACCTAAACAGACAGGCCCGGGCAAGGAGAGCATTAATCAAAAAAAGCAGTCAAGAGGCCCATGGTAACTCTGGAGAAGCGGAAGAGATCCACAGCTCAGGTGGGAGAACAGGAAAATTATTAAATTGTGCACTCCACAAATCTGGACTTTATGGAAGAGTGCAGTTTGTGAGAAGCCATGTAGGGGACACAGCAACAAGTGTAAAAACGTGCTCTGGTCAGATGAGACAAAAATTTTACTTTTTGGCCTAAAAGTAAAATGCTATATGTGGAGGAAAACTAACACTGCACATCAACCTGAACACACCATCCCCACCATAAAACATAGTGGTGCCAGCATCATGTTTTTCTTGATGCTTTTCTTCAGCAGGGACAAGGAAGCTGGTCAGAGTTGATGGGAAGATGGATGGACCTAAATACAGGGCAATCTTTGAAGAAAACCTGTTAATCTGCAAACAACTTGAGACTGGGGTGTAGAGGTTCACCTTCCAGCAGGACAACGACCCTAAATATACAGCCAGAGCTACAATGGAATGGTTTAGATCAAAGCATATTCATATGTTTAGAATGGCCCAGTCAAAAATCCAGACCTAAATCCAATTGAAAATCTGTGGCAAGACTGGAAAATTGCTGTTCACAGACACTCTCCATCCAATCTGACAGAGCTTGAGCTATTTTGCAAAGAAGAATGAGCAAAAATGTCACTTTCTAGATGTGCAAAGCTGGTAGAGACATCCCCCAAAAACAACTTGCAGCTGGAATTGCAGGTAAAGGTGGTTCTACAAAGTATTGACTCTGGGTGGCTGAATACAAATGCACACTACACTTTGCACATATTTATTTGTAAAAAAAACACTGAAAACCATTTATAATTTTCCTTCCACTTCACAATTAATGTGCCACTTTGTGTTGGTCTATCACATAAAATCCCAATAAAATACATTTACATTTCAAGGAGAATGGACACTTTTTCAAGGCACTGTACATTTTGACCTAAATTTATGAAGAAAGGTTATTTATTTACAAAGTTTTGTAACAGAAACTAGGACAAAACACGTTTTTTTTTTTTTTATTTTTTTTCCATTTAGCAAAAAATAAAAAAAAACTCAGTGGTGTTTAAATACCACCATTAGAAATCTCTATTTGTTTTTTTTATGGGTACAGTGTTGCATGACCACGCAATTGACATTCAAAATGAGAACGCTGAAAGCTGAAAATTGGCCTTGACAGGATGGGGGTAAAATTGGTCTGGTATGAAGTGGTTAAAAGGTGGAAAAAAAATTCTGGAATGATTTATCCCGGTCCGATTTTTTTTTTTTTTCACTTCAAAAATCTTGCAGTTTTACAGGTGTGTAGACTACATCCACTGTGTGAATGTTTTTATTAATCAATCTATACAGTGCTGCATTTCCTTCCTAAAATGCCCATCATTTTTGCAAGGTGAGCCATTAATCGATCATGAACTAAACCCTGATTTGTAAAACCAAGACTTTATAAAAGCAAGATTATAAAAATATAAGATATCAGTTCATAAAATTGTAAACTTTTAAAAATAATGAAAAAAAATTAACCAAAATCATTGTAGTTTTCTATTATACTTTTAGGAAAAACCTTTACCTGATAGGAAAGCCTGCTGCACTTATGTTAATAGTTTCCACAATGCCACAAGCTTCTAGCTGACTAAGAACCTGCAAAAAAAACCATAGTAAATTAAGATTATGCCACAAGCAAGATTATGCCACCAGTCTTTAATACAAACATGATACCTCATGCATACTGGACGCCTTTTTGCCATCTCTCCTAGACGCCTTTTCTCCTGACATCAGTGTGTTTTGACACTTGCAAGTGCATGTAACGCGTTTAAGTGAGCTTAGGCATGTTCAGACACATTTTTACGTGAGTCAAGTATTTTTTCTGTCAAAACGCTACTGCTCCTGGATGCAGTGTATTTTTTTTTCTGCCACTAAACTCTTCTACAAGCCTCAGACAAACATGCAGAGCATATAGAGGCAGAAAAAACATGCCAGATTCTTTTAATAGTGTCAAAAACATCCAGTGTGCATGAGGTTTTATATCTGAAATATGATGCATGGAATTCATATCATTTAAAAGTTTGCTTCTTTAAAAATGGGTATAGCATACCTCTTCCTTTCGAAAATCCATTGCTCTGCAGCCCATGTTAGGCTTAATACATCGAATATAGTGTGGGGTTGTCCTGTGCAAAATGTGCATCAAGCTTTCAAGCGATCCCTTAAAATAAAACAGACACAGTATTGTTGGTGACCTAGAGGGCTGTGTGATGTAGAAGAACCAAAATGACAATTTTCTATTTTCACTAGCTAGTTGTATTACACACAGACATTTAAGACACTCTTGCATATCTAGAATGCATATACTAAATTATTTGTACTATTATGCCCAGTATAAGTCAGACTTAACAGTCATGCAACATACCTTAAATTTAGAAACAACCGTTGTAGGTGATGTCCTACTGTATGTTGGAACATCAGGTGGTTTATTGCACTCCAACGGGAATAGCTTTTGAAGCAGGCTGTCTGTGGACTCTTGCAGAAGCTGGATAAGTTCTGGGGGAACAGGATCCTGAATAGGAAATAAAACTGTTTATATATCAAAAACAACCATACATTAGTTAAAAGTATAAGAAGAGTATAAAGATATACATCATCAGAGTCCAAACAATTACCATCTCCAAGGAGCCTTGGCAAGTAAAAAAACTGACCTGGTCCTTGGTCACTCTGTTGCCTAAGGAACACTACTTTCTCCTCTTTCCCCATGTTAAGCCATAAGACTCACTCATGCAGAATCAGAGTTTAGACAAAGATCCTGATGCTCTGGTTCTGCTCAAAGCATAAGTTCACCTTTTGTAAAAATGTTACACACATAATCAGGGTGTAACATGTAACAGGTTACAGATTCACCAGTCTCCACCCCCCCCCCCCCACCCCGACAGGGGATCTTAACACCCCCCCCCCCCCCCCCCCCACGCTTGCTGTCACAATTTAAAAAAAAAAAAAAAACAAACACATTGTGGCCATGCCAGGGACCCCCACCTGCCTGGCCACATCATTCATTCATGGTGTTCTGAGAATGTGAAAACTACAAGTACCAATAGCCTTACAGCCTTTGTGGCTGTCAGCTTGTAGCTCTCAATAGAAAAACATAAGTGGTCTACACCCTTTTAGATGAGATTTTGTGACCAAAGCATTTGGTTATAGGATGGGCACTGGGCACTCAGGGAACTACTTCATGCAGGAAAAATATTTCTGTGCATTATATATACCATTTATGATTTTAAGAAATAGCAGGGTTGCTGGGATATGGGCAAGGAGTGCGATTTCATCAATGAGTAAAAAATATCATAATCATCACCAGAAACAGGAAGAGATTATCATGGTATAACCATTAGTGTGAGGGAACGGCCATTGTCAATACTATTTTATGACACCATACCCATTCTGAACTTTCGCTTTTGTTCTACAAGGTATTTGTCTTGGCTCCTAGCTTCTGGAATGGATAGATTTGTAACCATCACTCTAAGATGAAACAGAAGGATAATGTGTGAATGAAGATTTGTCTATGTTACTACCAGCAACCATTCTGATTCCCTCTTTATAATTCCTGTGCATGAAAAACACAGAATCTGAATGGTTATTAGGGTAATGCACATGGCCTATTTTGTAGAAATAAGGCTTTTGGTAACCACTATAATTTTGGGGAAAATAACACTTTTATTCACCCATTGGCCATTTTTGTGAGATAATGTGCATTGCAAGTTCAGTCAATGTTTTTTTCCGACGACAACAAGTATCATTAGCGGAGGCTGGAAGTTGCAGAATGGCAACCTATGGGGGGGAATTAAAACTGGATCATGCAAAATCTGGTGCAGCTCTGCATAGAAACCAATCAGCTTCCAGGTTTTATTGACCAAGCTTAATTGAACAAGCAGAAGTTAGAAGCCAATTGGCTACCATGCACAGCTGCATCAGATTCTGAGTGCTCTTGTTTTAGTAAATCTCCCCCATGTGTCCTCTGGACTCAGTGCAGTCCATTGAAATCTCTGCTCATGATGTTCTTGTAAACTAACTATGCAGAAGGGTGCACTGTAGGTGGGATTGTTCTGGCTCTAAGGGCCCAAGTAAATCAATTACTGGCTGTTATGTTTGCAAACCTTAAAGTAGTTTTAAAAGCTGAAGGTAAAACATCATCACTATGCAGCTCTCTTACCCCTAGTGGCTTGAAAAAGAGCCAGGAGAGCTAGCAGGGACCCAAGAAGGGGAGGATCGGGGCTGCTCTGTGCAAAACCATTGCACAGAGCAGGTTAATATAAAAGGTTTATATTTTAAAAAATTAGCCTTTAATATTACGGTAATATGTACAAACTATGTTTCTGGATATTTGTGGTTAATGTTATTAAAACCTCTTCCATGCATTTTACAATGTTTAAAACTAGATTTCGGCGTATTCAGCACTATTTTGGCTACCGACAATGTAAAAGAGAATATAAACAAGAATTAACCATTCTTTTGGCTAGAACAATAATAAAAAGTCATAAAGATTGGATACTGGAAGCAAGATCTTACCAAGCCGTTTAATAAAAAAAATCAAATATCTAAAAATTTTGCCCTTGAGAGTTCCTTGGTAGTTTGCAATTAGAAAAGGTCAATGAGTGCATCTGGTTGTTGTCTTTAAGCTTAACAGATGAAAAAATGTCAAGGTCCACAGCATATTTTTAACAGTGAATTGTCATATACCGTGATCTTATTCTAAATGGTACATACAGTATATATGCAAGTTAAGCACCTTGTTTTTTTCCGCCATGTCTTCAATCTGGTAAGTCACTTTCCCAGCATAGTGAGATACAATAAAGTTAGGTATTCCACTAAATTTATCCCATCCAAAACACTTGTTGGGGGAAAGGGATTTTTCAAAACGAGACTGCAGCTGGCTGGCATCTGAAGATCGATTCAAACGACATTCCTATAAAGAAATGTCAAATGCATACTCAGGTATAAATTATAATCAATACCATATCAATTTCAGTAAACAATTGTGATAGATAACAGTGCAGCAGTTACCTTAATACCATTACCATGCGATTAGGTATTCATGCGATTAGAATATTGCATAAATAAGCCTTGCCAGTGCTTGATTATCACATGAACATCATTAAGATGCCCTGTTGCCAAAGAACTTACAGTACACATACAGTATGAAGACTACAAAATCCACAAGCTGTGGCATTAAAAAAAAAAAAACAGTTATATAGAACTCTCTCACTAAAGTGTAAAGCATGTTCCAGCCCAGGAAGCAGTTAGCAGGATTGGGTGTGGTCAGATGCTAATTGACAAGCTTCAAGCTTTTGAGTCAGCAGTGACAACGCTGAATAGCCATGCCCCATGCAGCATTTTTCCATCCCATGGTAGTGCGAGCAGAAACAGCATACTTTATTGGTAATTCTGCTCTAAATTCAGGAGCAGGGATGAGTTCAGGCGTGTTTGGATACTAGTCAATACCCCCGATCTATCCTACCAAGAGGTTGTCACTATGGACTGCCAAACATATGCGACCCAGGCATTCTCTGCCCTGCAACCACACATATACAGGTCCCTTATATATGTGCGGGGAGAGGAATGCATTGGCTGCTAATGATTGGTGGTCCACAGTAAGATCTTCTGGTGGGATAGCTCAGGCAGGTTCAGAGTAGTGCTCCTATTCAGGAATAATGCAGGGTCACGGTCACATCATTACAGGAAGCTGCAATAGGTGCACTTCACTGGCAGGCTTAACAGTGGGACATTGTAGGAGGAAAAAGTGAACACTGTAAGTGAAGATGCTGCATAGCAAATATATTTTTAATGGGAGGTCATATTATTATTATACAGGACTTATATAGCGCCGACAGTTTGCTCAGCACTTTACATTATGGAGGGAGACAGTACAGTAACAATACAGTTCAATACACGAGGGATTAGAGGGCCCTGCTCCTTGGAGCTTACAATCTAGGAATCTCTAAAGTATTATAAACCCAGGACCCTGTATTCACTATATCTGGTCTCCCACAGTACACACAATGTGGAAGTGCAATTATTTTAGTAAATATAAACTGCTAAATACCTTTTCTCATCAGCAGTTAGAGCAGTCTTATGACTTCAGCAGAGCACTGGTTAAAGCTTGTAGAAGGAGTTTTCTTTCTGCTCTAGGAGGATGCAAAACCCCTGACCTCTGTCTGACCAGTGCTGATTGACTCTGTGCTGATCACATGCACTCTCCCAAGGGGAAAAAAAAAAAGTCTCTAGCAATACACACTAAACTGAGCATGTGCAAAAGGGCTATTCTTTTCAGTTCAGTTTTCGGTTCAGTCTTTCTTATCAGAATGAACATTTGAACAAGGGGAGGGGCAGAGAAGTCAGGATCAAACAGCCTTTTTTACACAATGAAAAGGATTACCTCCTTAGGTTCCACAGGGAGTATAACAAGCATGCTTTACTGCATATACAGACTGATTTTACTGTTGTGGGTTTAGTAACACTTTAATATTGACTTTTAAGTAACTTCACAAGCCTGCAGGAATAAATTCCTGAAAAGTCACAATATACAGCAAAAATATACTTTTCCCAAATAACCTATCCTTGAGTTCCAATTCAGTGACTTTGCCAGGCTGAGCTGAGAAACTACAACACTAACTTTGTAGCAAGCAGGGCTTTTTTTCAGCAGAAACGCAGTTCCGGCACTGAATGTATGTAATGGCAAGGAGTGCTGGGCTGTGCTGGAGGGAGGGTCTATTGATGCTGGCTGCTGGTAGGTTTATTGTTGGTAATGGTTCTGGGGAGGTCTTATGTTGCTGGAGGGTCATTTGGTGCTGGGAGGGATCTAATGTTGAGGGAGTGGTCTATTTATGCCGGCTGCTGGGAGATCTGTTTTTGCTGGGGGTCTATTATTGCTGGAGTGGATCTATTGTTGCTGAGCTGGTATTTTTCTGCAGGGGTATCATTGTTGCTGAAGGGGTCTACTGTTTTGGGAGGATCTAAGTGTTGCTGGGGGTCTAAAATTGCAGGGGGGGTCTATTGTTGCGGGGAAATCTATTGTTGCTGGGGGTCTAAAATTGAGGGGGGGATCTATTGTTGCTGGCTGCAGGGAATTTATTTTATTCCTTTTTTTAATCATTAACACACATTCTATACAAATTACTTAGCACCACAAATTGATACTTAGTTCTGTATTCTCTAAAATGGGCAGTACTGAGAGGTGGGTAGGGGGTGGAACTAAGGGACGGTGTTCAGAGGTTGGTAGGAGGCGGAGACAAGGGGCGATTCAGAAAGGGAGAGTTCATGCAACTATGCTCTGAGAAAAAAAGTCCTGGTACCAAGTAATAATATGAGATGAGATATGACCACAGTCAAGAACTTCACAGGCAGCCAAAATTTACATGACTGTCATCTGAGCCAGCATCTCAGTCCAGAAATTAGATGGTGACCCACCCTGGGTTGTGCTTAAAAAAGATGGTGCAGTCCTGGACAGAAAAGCAGATGGAGGTACTGATCTTTTTGAGAGTTAATACCAGGAAGTATTACACTTACACATCACTTAGAATGGAGGAACTAAAACTTAAACAAAAATATATATCTGAAACTAGGTCCACCTTAACACTAAAAGGGTGCAGCAAGTAAATAGCATGTACATTCCATACTGATTCTGTCCACACAGATAAATTACTGAGATAATGAACTTGTAATACATACCTCATTAAGTAAAGAGAATATACTAACTGGACTCCCTTCTATAAGATCTACACAGTCCTGGTTGTCTTGATAACTTATGAAGGACCAGTCCAGCCCTTCTGCTGCATATTCATCCTACGGACAAAAAAAAAAAAAAAAAAAAAAAAACACGACATTTAACAAGTCAGAAATTCATCATGTTTAAAGTTCAGAATTAAATAAGCAACAACTAGGTAACGAACATATATTCTTATTGGGCGTTCTGCCAGCATGATGGGATATTCAGGTTGTAGTTATGACAGAAGACCTTCCAAATGTTACAAAAAGTGCCCAGTATTAAATCAAGATATCGAGGACAGAAAATGTCCCCTTTTTCCTCACATAGTTTACAGGTAGGCATCACCTTTCACCACCAAGGTGCCTTGGTGTAAAGGCATGTGATAACAGCCTTATTACAAAAAAAAAAAAAAATACAGCACAGCAACCAATCAGAATCTTTCTTGTGCTTGTCTATCTTTAGCTTATGTTATCCTTACCTGCTTGGACATTTATTCATTTGATTGGTCACAGTAATTTCAATAGACCTGAATAAACGCCCAAGTGCTAAACGCTGATAACGTTTAGATGCATTTTTTCCAAGTTTAGCATTTTTTGGCCAAAAATTTCCTCTCTTGGATGTAGAAGAATCGCATTCAGGAGAGGAATGTTTAAAGTGCCCCTAAACTCTGCTGCTACCAAAAAAATGGGGAAAGCTTATGTATATACATGGACACAGGCTTTTATTGAGCTGAGCACAGGAGCTTTGGCAAAAAAAAAAAAAAAAAAAAAATTGCCAAAAGCTCCTAAACTCACGTTTAGGAGTAGTGCACACGAGGCCTTAGACCCACTTACGTCATTGGTCAGACTGTCCAGAGAGTTTCAGTGTGCATGGGGGCAGCTTTATGACCACTGAAGGACACAGTTGTGCAGCACCATCTATGTATGAAGTGTGTGGAGCACTGCAGTTCACCTTATGTGGATTATATTGGACACTTTTGGCACGATTTCGTATTTCACGCTATTTGGACTATTGGTCACCATCAGCATTATTTTACAAGTTTTGGTACTGAAGAAGACTTATTTATTTAAAAGAAATCACTTGGCAATTGTTTACTCATTTTGATGACACCTAGCGTTAATCCCCTTTTACAGACATCAAATGGCTGGTGTCATAACTGATCACGTGCAGCACCGCGACAACTGCAGATCCAACAGAGGCCAAGATTCTGCTTTAGCATTAAACGGTTTAAAAGTCTTTTCAGTTTTTTTTTTTCTGTCCTTAGTGAGGGACAACATACTGATGAATTCTTTGTAATATCCATTAGCTATCATTGAAAGTGTACCTTTCACTGCTGGTTATACTGATTTGAGTAATTGTCATTTTTTAAATAAAGTTAAAAAACAAAACAAAAAAAAAACAACCCCAACAACAAATTTTTTGCTCTTGGCCATTATCACAGGTGAAATACATTCTGTGTGTACCTTTTTATAGACTTTATTTAGAAGCATTCTCCAGGTTTTAAGGCTTGCGTTCACATGCTGTACTAGGCATATAAAAAGGAGAACCCACTTGCTTTGCTAGAATTCTTTCTTTAGGCACTCAAAGCAATCCAACCACTTTCACCTTTTGTCCATTTGAAATGTAACAAGGAACATTTTTTGCTTGCTACAGGCAACAGTTGAAGGTTTTCTCTTTTATTTTCTCTAGATTTCAAAAATTAGTTCTATCAATCTCAAGTAGTAAAAATGTGTTCCAAAAGAAGTCCGTAAAAAAATTTAGTACATATTAAAAGTGGTTGTAGAGGCAAGACATTCTTAACTTAATGCATTTCCTGCAATTAGGGAAGAATGTATTATTTGTATCGCCTTCCCCCTTAAAATACTTACCCGAGCTCTTATGCGATCCAGTGCTGTGCCCATCTGTACCTGCTTTCTCCTCTCTCCCTACATTCACAGGACAGAGAGGCAGCAGCGGGAGCCATTGGCTCCTGCTGCTTCCAATCAAGCAAATCCTGTGAGCAGAAAGCAAGGGCAGCGCCAAGCCACACTGTGTATATCTATAGATGCACAAAGCCCAGCTTGGGAGCAAGCCCGCATGTGCACCTTTATAGGAAGTGGCTTCCTATAGTGGCACACAGAGAACAGTTGGAGTCAAGAGCACTGGCAGAGGACTCCAGAGAAGAGGTGGTTTGGGGCCACTTTGTGCAATACCATTGCACAGAGCAGGCAAGTATACAATCTTTTTAATTTAAGGAAAACAAATGTCAATGGCTTCCTGCCTTGACCATTGTAAAATGAGTCCAATTGTTCATAGGACGTCTTTCCCGAGAAAGTGCCTCGCTCTGGCATGATCTGTCACCTGTCCTCTGCCGATACCATGTGATCGCTGTGACCAATCACAGCAGATCACATGACAATTGTAAACAATTGATAAATAATGATCACCTGCGCTTAGGACACACCAATCAATAGTACAAACTCAATATTAAACAAAAAACTGGGCTGATGCTCCTATAAAAAAGGTACAACCTTATCAACATAATACACAAAATAGCAGGAGCTTTGCCTCAATGTATGTTATATTACATGAAAAATGCTTAAATAATGAACACAACAAAAAATTGTGAAATAAAGTCCTAAATGTGAAATCAACAAGTGAACAAAAATCCCTTTCACATCCAGAAGGTGATAAGTGCTCTGTGCGCCTCCTCACTCACCAACTTCAATGGACTCTTATGGTGAAACAAGAATCTTTCAGGCTTTTGGTGGGGCATAGGAAGTCATGCTGGAGCTTGTAGTCCTCCTGATTAAATGTTGCTTGTCATTCCCAATGATTCAAAATGTTTTAGGGTTTCAAGAAATAAGATAGGCCGTCAGTACATCAGGATTGATCAATTTGTAGATATATACCATAGTTTGTGGACTCTATAACTTTCCTACAGACTAAATATACACTGACTTGGGTGTTTTTCCCCCACCAAAGAAATGTAGCAGAATACATTTTGGTCTAAATGTTTGAAGAAATAAAATTTGCAAATAAATAATCTAACAAACGAAGAAAGAGCCATTTTTTTTTTTTTTTTCTTTATCAAAAAAGTAGATCCCCAATGGTGATTAAATACCATCAAAAGAAATCTCTTTATGTGTGAAAAAAATGATCCAAATTTCATATGGTAAAGTGTTGCATGATTGTGCAATCGGCATTCAAAGTGTGACAGTGCTGAAAATTGGCCTGGGCAGGAAGGGGGTAAAAGTGCCCGGTATTGAAGTGGTTAAATGTTATGAATGCTTTAAGTTATATGAAGAAAGCTGCACACAACTTGAGATATACCACAATGATAGCAACAAAAATGTGACTGTCAAGAATTTGGACAACAGTAAATACAATATACCTGTTGAATTTTTAGGTAGTGGGTCACAAAATGCTGCTGAAGTTTCTCATTGGCATAGTTTATACACAATTGCTCCAAGTTGTTTTGTGGGAAAGATTCAAATCCATAAACATCCAATAAACCTGTACAAAAGGAAAAAAGGGAACAAGATTTTCTAAATGGATATGCACATGCGTATGCGTATTATGCACATGCGTATTATGCAGATACAATTATTGTGATAGCCTAAAAAAGGGCATAAAACTGTAAATAAACTACCACTATACAGGTGTATACAGAAAGGTAAAATTCAGACAACTTATACTGTGGAAAAAGCTTCTCATACATGCTAGGTGTCCTGTGTACCCAGCCAACCAGTGGTTCTATTAGTTGTAATTGGCACTTTTTTCTACAAGCAATATTTAAAAAAATAAACTAAAATTTAGAATAATACCAATAAAATTGCTCCAGTTAGTTGATTCATCACAAATGCTTGTGTTAATTACAGTCACCAGCCAGTCAAATAATCTGCAATGAAAAGGGAGAAAGGGACAGATTAAAATTATTGAATGGTGTGGCACTAATGGCTATGAATTAAAGGTGCCTGTGTTCATTCACAAAGCAAAGTCTGGTGGAAGCAACCTTACCCAGTCTTGTGTGCCTCAAAGTAATAATTTCATGTAATGGCTGTTTTCATTAGACTTTTTTTAATCAAGTTTTTGCTTCCCAAGAGATTCACTTTGAAATACTGGCACTACAAATTAGCTCTGGGCTTGTGCTGCAAGAATGTAAAGGGTTATTTTCTAGCACAGATACTTATTTTTGATTCAGGTGTTTTAACAGACATGCTCTTCTGCCATCTGTTATTTACACCTTACAGACAATGGGTGTGCACTAACTTTCTAAGCACCAACTGACAAATAGTGTAAACAGTACTGTTGGCGCTGCAACATGTAGGTTTGCGTGTGATTGATCTCTCTCTCTCTCTATATATATCTATCTATCTCTCCATCTCTCGATCTATATATCTATATATCTCTATACACATACATTTGTGTTCAAAATAATAGCAGTCAGACATCACTAACCTGATCAATCACTGTTTTTGGTAGAAATGATTTCTACATGGCAAATAATTTACTAGCAGGTGTAGTAGAGTAATAGAAATCCAACAGACATGACATGCATGCTGCTGATTCTGTGTAATTGAATCACTAATTGAAAGGGGCATGTTCAAAATAATAGCAGTGTGGAGTTCTATTAGTGAGGTCATTCATTCTTTGAAAAACAGGTGGCAATTATTGCCCTTATTTAAGGAAGGAAGGCAGCAAATGTTGTACATGCTGGTTACAGTGCATTTCTCTCTGAAATTCTGAGGAAAATGGGTCGTTCCAGACATTGTTCAGAAGAACAACGTACCTTGATTAAAAAGTTGATTGGAGAGGGGAAAACATATAAAGCAGTGCAGAAAATGATAGGCTGCTCAGCTAAAATGATAGCAAATGCTTTAAAATGGCAACCAAAACCTCAAAGACGTGGAAGAAAGCGAAAAACTACCATTCGAATGGATAGAAGAATAGCCAAAATGGCAAGGACTCAGCCAACAATCAGCTCCAGGAAGATCAAAGAAGGTCTAAAGTTCCCGGTGAGTACTGTTACAATTAGAAGACGCCTATGTGAAGCCAAGCTATCTGCAAGAAGCCCCCGCAAAGTCCCACTGTTGAAAAAAAGACGTGCTAAAGAGGTTACAATTTGCCAAAGAGCACATTGACTGGCCTAAAGAGAAATGGCGCAACATTTTGTGGACTGATGAAAGTAAGATTGTTCTTTTTGGGTCTAGTGGCCAGAGACAGTTTGTCAGACGACCCCCAAACACTGAATTCAAGCCACAGTACACTGTGAAGACAGTGAAGCATGGTTGCACAACATCATGATATGGGGAGATTTCTCATACTACGGAGTTGGGCCTATTTATCGCATACCAGGGATCATGGATCAGTTTGAATACATCAGAATACTTGAAGAGGTCATGCTGCCTTATGCTGAAGAGGAAATGCCCTTGAAATGGGTGTTCCAACAAGACAATGACCCCAAACACACCAGTAAACGTGCAACATCTTGGTTCCAGACCAACAAGATTGACGTTATGGAGTGGCCAGCCCAATCCCCGGATCTTAATCCAATAGAAAACCTGTGGGGTGACATCAAAAATGCAGTTTCTGAGGCATAACCAAGAAATAGAGAAGAACTGTGGAATGTAGTCCAATCATCCTGGGCTGGAATACCTGTTCACAGGTGCCAGAAGTTGGTTGACTCCATGCAACACAGATGTACAGCAGTTCTCAGAAACAGTGCTTATACAACTAAATATTAATTAAGTGATTCAAAGGAAAGCAAAATCTTCAAACATTTTTCAGTTTATATAGTGAATGTTTGAGTTTGTAAAGAAGAATACAAAACACTGCTATTTTTTTGAACAGTCTAATATTCAGTGGCATCCCCCCTTTTTCAAGGGACCAAAAGTAATTGGACAATTGAATCAAAAGCGGTTTTCATGGCCAGGTGTGGGCTACTCCGTTATTTCTTCTTCAATTAAGCAGGTAAAAGGCCTGGTGTTGATTCTAAGTGTGGTATTTGCATTTGGAATCTATTGCTGTGAACCTACATCATGCGTTCAAAGGAGCTATCCATGCAAGCGAAACAGGCCATTGTAAGGCTTCAAAAACTAAACAAATCCATCAGAAAGATAGCAATATTAGGAGTGGCCAAATCAACAGTTTGGTACATTCTGAGGAAAGAAGAACACACTGATGAGCTCAGCAACATAAAAAGGCATGGCCGTCCAAGGAAGACAACAGTGGTGGATGATCGCAGGATCCTCTCTATGGTAAAAAGAAACCCATTCACAACATCCAGACATGCAAAGGACACTCTCCAGGAGGTAGGCGTATCATTGTCAAAGTCTACAATCAAGAGAAGACTTCATGAAAGCAAATACAGAGGGTTCACCACAAGGTGAAAACCATTCATAAGCCTGAAGAATAGAAAAGCCAGATTAGAAATCAAATGTTAATATTGCTTGTGAGCTAATATGGTGAAATTCAATAGTATTCTAATTATTTAATCAAAAATAAATGCACATGTGGTTCGCTAGCTCCTTGCACCAACTCATAAATAGTGCTGATAACTCAATATAAATTTAAAACAATAGTGCTGCACTCCCGTGCTATTAATAGTGTTTAATCATAATATAAAGTGATTAAATCTTAAATGAATAAATTAAATAAACCATTCATCTGTGACTTATATCTGTGATCAAACTTTAAACCTATTTATATCATCACTAGTGAAAAGACAAAATATAGTGACCAAATCAAAATATATAATTGCCTCACTGCAATCCAATGAAATAAAATATATCCAACAAAAAGTGTCCATATTATGTGAACAGTCCTCCTCATAAACGAAAAAAACGTGTTCCAACAAATGGATGAAAAATAAGATAAATTTTACTTTATGCGCTCACCTCCTTTTTAGCCTAATGTAGATTTGGGCTAAAATCGCTTTTTGTCCTAAAAGGACAGATGCAACTGCTCCTGCTCCAGATTTCCTTCTCAGATGGTTCCACGTTGCAATATACTAATAATCCACCTGGTGTCTCTCTTTTCGTTTATGAGGAGGACTGTTCACATAATATGGACACTTTTTGTTGGATATATTTTATTTGATTGGATTGCAGTGAGGCAATTATATATTTTGATTTGGTCACTATATTTTCGTCTTTTCACTAGTGATGATATAAATAGGTTTAAAGTTTGATCACAGATATAAGTCACAGATGAATGGTTTATTTAATTTATTCATTTAAGATTTAATCACCTATATTATGATTAAACACTATTAATAGCACGTGAGCGCAGCACTATTGTTTTAAATTTATATTGAGAAAAGCCAGATTAGACTTTGCCAAAAAACATCTAAAAAAGCCAGACCAGTTCTGGAAAAGCATTCTTTGGATGGATGAAATGGAGATTAATCTGTACCAGAATGATGGGAAGAAAAAAAAAGTGTGGAGAAGGCTTGGAACAGCTCATGATCCAAAGCACACAACGTCATCTGTAAAACATGGTGGAGGCAGTGTGATGGCATGGGCATGCATGGCTTACAGTGGCACTGGGTCATTGGTGTTTATTGATGATGTGACAGAAGCAGCCAGATGAATTCTGAAGTGTTTAGAGATATACTGTCATCCCAGATTCAACCAAATGCAGCAAAATTGATTGGACAGCGCTTCACAGTACAGATGGACAATGATCCAAAACACAATGCAAAAGCAACCCAGGAACTTTTGAAGGAAAAGTGGAATATTCTGCAACGGCCGAGTCAATCACATGATCTCAACCCAATTGAGCATGCTTTCACTTGCTGAAGGCAAAACAAAGGCAGAAAGACCCACAAACAAAGAACAACTGAAGACAGATGCAGTTAGAGCCTGGCAAAGCATCGGAAAGGAGGAAAGCCAGTCTTTGGTAATTGCCATAGGTTCCAGACTTCAGGCAGTCATTGCCAGTACAGGATTCTAAACAAAATATTAAAAATGAACATTTTATTTATGAATATATTAATTTGTCCAATTACATTTGAGCCCCTGAAAATGGAGGGACGGTGTATAAAATGATTGCAGTTCCTAAAATTTGTACTTGATATGCATGTTCAACCCCTTGAATTAAAGCTGAAAGTCTGCACTTCAAATTAATTTGGATTGGTTTGTTTTAATTTATTCTAGTGGCATACAGAGCCAAAAGCATGAAAATTGTGCCGGTGTCCAAATATATACGGACCTATCTGTACACACACACACACATACATATATACACACACACACACACATTATATTTTTAGCAAACTATATGTTTAAAAACAGGTTTGAGTATTTGTATCAATTTAAAACCATAGGGATTTTTTGTAAAACATTACAGATAACTGGGGTTCTAGGCTAAATTATCATCTTGGGATTGTGGTGTACTATTCTATGAACTGTGAGCTCAGAATTTAGGCTGGTTATTAATAACTGAAAAATGATCCTAAGATGGCCCCTATCCCTAGAAATCTTAACAGGAGTTCAGGCCCATGGTCTGTGCATAATCCTGCTGTGCAGGTTTTTTTCCCCCACCAAATACATGAAAACTTCTAGCACTGCTACCAATCTGCATAATGGGGGTGGTCATTAAAGTGAGCTGTCCAGGTGCAGGTTCAGTTAACTTTGGATGTCTGTGTAGCCATTTCAGACTGATCATGACTAGAAATATGTATGATGACCAGCCTGTTCTTTGCCGTTTCACAGGGAAGGGTGAACAGGCCATCAGTGAGGGTGGTACTACTTATGTTGACACCCAGTCCCTTTTGACATTATGATTATATTTTTTTTTTTTTAATGAATCACTGTTCATTAATAATAAATAACCAAACAATGTTAAATGTTTCAAGACTACTCTGAAAGTGTGCTTCTCTACTTCAGTCATGGAACTCATGAAAGAAAATGTTCACAACTGTTTTCATTAAAGATCAGTTCCTCTGTTAACCACTTGCCTACAGGGCACTTATACCCCCTTCCTGCCCAGGCCAATTTCCAGCTTTCAGCGCTGCTGCACTTTGAATGACAATTGTGCGGTCATGCAACACTGTACCCATATGACATTTTTTATAATTTTTTTGTGACAGATAGAGCTTTATTTTGGTGGTATTTAATCACCTCTGGGTTTTTTATTTTTTCTTAAACAAACCAAAAACCACTGAAAATTTAAAAAAAAAAAAAAAAAGTTTTAGTTTTTGTTAGAAAAATTTGTAAATAAGTGATTTTTCTCCTTCACTGATGTGGCTGCACTGATGGGCAATGATAGGCAGCACTGATGGACACTGATAGGCAGCACTCACATACGGCACTTTTAGGCGGCACTGACTGGCACTGATAGGCGGCACTGACAGCACTAATAGGTGGCACCGACTGGCACTGATGGGTGACACTGAAAGGCAGCTCAGATGGGCACTGATATGTGGCATTGATTTGGCACTGAAATGTGGCATTGATGTGGCACTGGCAGGTGGCATGGATGAGCACTGAGAGCTGGCACTGATGGACACTGACAGGTGGCGCTGCTGGGGCTACACAGATCATCAGGGCACACTGATCATCAGTGCTCTGATGATCTGTGTACATGTCCCCTCCGAGGAATGCCGATTACCGGCTCTCCTCTCCTCACGAGCTGTCAGCGTGACAGCTCGTGGGGAGAGAAATGCCGATAATCGGAATTTCCCTATTTACATGTGATCAGCTGTGATTGGACACAGCTGATCACATGACCGAGGTGACATCTTCAGCTCTTTCCGTGGATCAGTGATCCGCTGTGTCCGAGGGACACAGCACACCGCCGATCGCCGCGTGCTCCCGGAGCCGAGCATGCGCGGTTAGAATAGGAGGACGTTATAGGACGTCCTCCCAGAACGACAGAACCACCTTGCATCCGTCATTTTACTATATGGCAGGCGGAGGCGGTTAAACATTTTGATCACAAGCTTTAGTGTCTTCAGAATGTCCATAATCAGCTCCTCTATTTTGTATCTCACCTGGCATAGATAGATTTGGCTAGACAATCCCTTCGTGAATCACACTCAGCCTTCTTGCATGGTTTCCTTAATGCTTGCTGTTTTCCTGCTATTATAGTACGGAAGCAGAGCCTGTCCAGCAGGTGCTCAGCAGGAATCTTCATCAAATTTGAAGTGGAATAAAGGAATACTAAAATACAGTTATGTGTGTAGATAGTTAATAAGCATTTCTAATGATTCTATGCATCTCAATGAAAGTAAAATTAGACATTGTAATTTTTACTTTTTATAACAGCTTTTTATGTTAACCCCTTCCTGCCCAGCATCCCTGGGTGTGTCCACTGTGATTGGCTGTCATAGCCAGTGCCACTGACTTTTGATCATTGCAACAGACAGGGAGTGGTCTTTGACAGCTTGACCACTGTGTTGGGAGTGCAGTGAGCATGCTCTCAGCATTGAAAGCTCTGCCGTCCATGGACGAATATAGGAGTGTAGACGTTATAGCCCACCCTCCTTGCCCCTTCATTACCTGGGCAGCAGGAGGTTAAATTATTAAGTGTTCTTGCATGGAAAGACCACTTACTGTTATCTCACATATATATTCTTATTATTATAGCCAAATTTACCACCCTAACTCCTCCCACAGTTTTTACACTACATAGACAGTAACACCGAAACGCACGGATTGTTCCCGATTGGTGTGCTATTACTTTGTGGAACGTTTTGCCGAATGGTTCACGAAATATCGGCGTTTTTGTGGTGAAATTGGTCCCAAAGGAATGAATGGCGGGATGTTCAAAACTAGAGTGGGAGCTGACAAAAGCTAGAGTGTGAGCTGAAAAATCAGGACATGATTTCTAAACTCCACTCCAACCACAAAACAGTTACTCAAGCCACTCCACCCAGTTACTCCGCCCACTCCAGTTGTAGACTACTGGTGGAGGCAAGAACACTTCACACAATTTCCCCAGAAATTGTAGCTTTTCTAGTTTTTTAACTATTTCTTTTAAATGCATGTAAAAACTGGGATAACAAAATCAAGTTGATGTGTTTAAAACAGCTTTTATGCCATAATAATGGGCAATAAAAGGTCAGTGGGTTGCTAGGCATTCTTCTATTCAGGCAAAAATGGATGTGTTTTTGTCTGTGCAGTGCTTTCTGGGCTTTCTAAAAGTGAGCCCTGCACTAGCTCTGCAACTGCTAACATTTCTGTGCATAATAAATAAAAAAAAAAAAAAAAAAAAGTGGAAAACACTATCATTTTCCTTTATCAATATATTATTACTGTGGTTGAATCATCAGATTTTGGTGCTGTATAATAACCACCACTTAAAAAGTTGATAGGGAAGGGAAAAAAAAAAAAAAAAAAAAAAAAAAAAAAAGGATTTGGATTTATAAAAAGTACAGCCTCTCACAACACTTATTTTACTTTAGAGAAAATACAAAAACTCAAAAAGGGAACTGATCAATTCTCAATTTGTGGCTCAAAATTATCCCCAAGCTATTCTTTAGTAATCTGAACTGTGGATATAGATTAATAAATAATAATAATAATAAAAAAAATACACAGGTAAAAAAATATGCATTTATTTATTTATTTACATACAAGGAGCCTGGAAAGTATTGCACCTGCGACCAGCAGATCACAGGTGCCATGCAGGACTCTCGCAGACTTGTCAGTGTATCTGTTTGCTCGTACCTCGTATGGGCAGGCAGTCACACACTTACATTAAAACTACCTAGAGCAATCAACAGCTCCCTGGTAGTTAATTGAGAACTACAAGCTGACAGCCGCAAAGGATGTTGGTACTTGTAGTTTCCCATTCACAGAACTCTGAATGAATGATGTGGCCAGGCGGAGCCAGGCGTATTTTAAAAATAGTGACAGCGAGCATGGCGAAAAGATCCCCCACTTGCTGGCACCAGATACAGCGGGATCAGATGCCCAACTCACTGTACAAATTCGGCAATGCCGAATCTGACTGGACTCCTGCGCATATGTAGGAGTGCCAGCATCCCTGCTTGGCCAATGACAGCGGCTGGTGATCAAGACCTGGAAGACGGCTGCCCGAAGATGTCAGCGGCCGGGCGGGGAGATCCAGGACACCGCATTGCTGGATCCAAGGTGAGTAAAGTTCCACTTTATAACCTTTGTCCACCTAATATGCCCTAACTTTTTCCTCAACTCATTTAATATCATATGATATGGTAGTTGTTGGTTATATTAACAGTTGTCTTAAAGCAGAACTAAACCCACTGATTTAATAAAAAAAATAAATTCCTGGCATTCCAGGAATGCCAACTGTCACATTTACTTGTGCTCCCAACTAAACTATAAAACCATCAAATGACTGATCTACAGCTGCCATGGTGCTGCACATGTGATCAGTTATGACATCAAAAAAGGGCTAAGATGGCAGCTACCTTTGCTTAAAAGAATTGGAAGGTTTAGTTTCGCTTTAACCAACTGATTATAAGGGTAAACTGCAGACTATTTAGATCAGTTCTGGTATGTATCGGTTCCATTTTTTTCTGCTTTAGCATGCATATAAATTTTGAGAAAGTTGTAAACTCTTCAGAGCTTTAAGTACTTTTTACATTAAAAAAAACAAAACATAAAAATAAAAAAAAAAAAAAACAAAAAAAAATAAACAAAATAAAAACTAACTGACCTTTTGCATTGCTTAAAACTTCACATGGCTGGCTTTCATCCAGAGAATCACAGAAAGCGACATTCCCCAGATGCAAAAGACCTGATAAAATCTGTCATAAAATGAAATACACGTGAAACGGGTGCCATTTTACAAAGAAAAAAAACACATCTTATTTACACTTTCCAGATTTTTTTTTTCTTTTATTATAGATATCGAGAACAGAGATGTAGGAGTGAAAACAGTTTTGGAAGGAGCACGCAAAAAGAACCTAGGACTATGGCTGGAAAATATCCAAAAATCCCCACTAGATACAAGATGTAAGAGTGATTGGCCAAACTCCTCTTCGGTTCAGTTTGGCCCTTTATTCTGTTTTGAAATTAATATGTTGGCTGCCATTGCCAACATATTTCTGAAAATACTGCTTGCCTGGCTGTTTATAGTGTCAATGTTTTTTAAGTGACTGACCAGAACCAGGCATGCAGCAAGAGATTTATTTGAACTGTTAGAGAGAAAAAAAAAAAAAAAAAAAAAAAAAAAAAAAAGAAAATGAGCAAAACACTGGTATTATTGCGCATACAGGCCAATCAAATTTTTTTCACAGAATAAAAAAGGTGAAAGTTGTAGATTTTATGTTTTCTTTCTCTATGTAGATCGGTCCCAAGTAATGAAGCCAATAAATCAGCATGACAGTCAAGCCAGTTACATTTTTAGAAGGTAATAGTAGCAGCTTACATATCTCTGATGATAGGTTTATAACACTTTCTAACCATGTTTTTTTCCATTTACAGTCAGGACTTTATTTGGCTTTTGTCCTCATTTGATTTACAGAAGGAGAGCTGGCTGATTAAAACAAAGTAAAGCATTGGTTTATTAAAATAGGGGCCTGTTTCTTGCTTTTCAAATTGTAATGGATACATGAAAACTATTACTTTATGCTGTAGCCAACTGTGCATTTAGAAAATAAATCTCCACCCAGAAATTATGAAGTGAGGAATTTATCTGGATTTGTTTTTTTGGATGTGTTAAATTAACACTAAAGGCAAAACATTGTTTTTTCATTTTGGCGTAAGGGAAGGTTTTAACCCTTCAGCTTTTTCGCCATCTGTGTCCTATCAGGGGATTTGTCTTCACTTCCTATCCCACAGCCAAAACAAAAAAGTGAGAAGAAATAATTTCAAAAACATTTTGCCTTTAGTTATATTTAACATGCCAGAAGAGTTTGCTTAAAGCTATATTTCCAAATTTGCAACCAAAGTGGGATAACACCTACTTAATATTTGTTGCATCTTCCCATTCACAGAGCAGAACTTAAAAAAATATTTAAAAACCATTTATGCTTACCTTTTTATTTGCTTTAAAATCCTACCTAGCTTTCCTTCCCCTTTCATGAAATGTAAAGGAGAGGGCTGTGGAGTAATGTTTACAATAAATAACCCTGTCCGTAATGTGCTGGAAGAGTTATTACCATTTTTAAACTAAATTTGCACACTAGATATTCTAAAAAAGGGTTAAAGATCTCCAGGCTTGGGTGGGTACATTGTATGTTAAGGAACTTACCAAAAAAAAAAAAAAAAATCATCTGTCTGTGTCCCTGCTGGAATAGATGCTAATCTCCCTGACTTCTAAATGGGTGCGTGGCCACGGCCCCGGTTACTTTACTTTCCTCCCTGCCATTTCTTCCTCTTTCTACTGTACTGACTCAGGTGATAACCCTTCCCTTTACCTACTTCCTTTCAGTATCCCTAACCCCACCCTGGGGAGAATTTTTTTCTTCTTCTGCTTTTGTAACATGCTATGTACATGTACATTTTACATTCATGATGTGTACCTATAAAAAAAAAAAAAACTTTCCTAAAATGCTTATCTGTGCTATAATCCACTCTGCTGATCTTTCTTGTAAGCAATTTGAAAAATGTGAACGTCTTTGTAATATTGCTTATTTAACCAATAGAAAAAAAAAATTCAACCATAAACTGACCCTCAGTTTGTCCAAAAGGAAGATAAATATGTAAAGCTGGTGGGGCTAACATTACATGTGCTGATTTTTCCTACATAAAAGCAAAGCACAGGTTCACTGCAATAATGCAATGCTGTACTCTAAAGTAAATGTACAGTACTGCTCAATCAAGTGACATATACACAAAATCAGTCAATGATTCTGCCATCTCAATGGTCTTTTCCTTATATGCGAAAACATGCAAGTTTGTATCCATTATTTTAGTGTATTTATTTTAAATAAACTAACACCACAGCATTAAATAAGTTTGAAAGGTGCAAGATTATTGCAACTGACCTTAAATATATTACTCTGTGACGATGGATCAATACCCAAATGTGTCATTGCATCTTTAGTGATTTTGAAGCAATCCTCTAGATAACAGAAAAATAAAGGCAAAAACAGAAATTTAGTAGAGCTAAAAACTAAAAATCAGTTTTATGTCAATTTTCGAACAAAAATAAAAAATGCAAAACTAATAAACAAGACATTTCTCCTACCACTAGCAAAAGCAATTTGAATGTTGTTAACAGCAGTGGCTCCATATCTTTAAATATGCAAAGTTTGCGCATATTTATAGTACAGTAATCAAGTATCACAAATGTTTGTCATGAGAATTCACCAAGGAAGGACTTCTTCGCAGCAGTAACACCCATTTTTAAAAGTGCCAAAAGGCTAAAGCCCGCTGTCAGGTTACGTCACTGAGCGGGTCCAGGCTCTGGAAAGATCCCTCTAAAGTTGGGATCCACCCAGATTCCTGACCGGCCTTTAGCCTGAACCAGCTGCTTCCATCCCTTCCACAATCCAGTGCAATGTGAGCACTATGCAAAGCTTGAGTAAGTGACTGACAATCACCGCTCTCTGCTCACAGAAGACTGAAAACTGAGCGAGTAATGGTCTTTGATCGCTTGGCTCTTGGTCTTACTGGCGGCGGGGGACAGATGCAGCATCGGCATTGGATCAGCATCCACCTAGGTGAGTATGTTTTTTTTGTTTTGTTTTTTTTCCAATTCCCATATTTCTCTTTAGTTGAAGAAATAGTTTAAAGCTTATGTCATGAAACCAACTGCCCTTACCCTCGAGGTTCTTATCAGAATTTGGGAGCCAAGAGAACTGTGCATTTTCTTGGAGTCCCCATTCATCTCTTTCATTTGGAGAAGCACCTTTAAAAATCTGAAAAATAAATTACTTATTACCAAATGTTAACAAATCACTCAAATTGGAATATGAAAACTAACACCTGGCTAAGGTACTACTAGCTATGTATACTTTTATTTAAAAACACAACCAATGTTAATTACTAATCGTATGAAAACAAATTTTTTTCTTGACACACCTGATAAAATATATGGAAGTTTCTTTCTGAAGGAGCCCGATGAGCTACACGCGTCTTCTCTAGAAGGTACGTCTGGATAGAAGCACCAGTGATTTGCTGAGTTCTAATAGCGAAAAAAAAAAAAAAAAAAAGACAACCCGCTCAAGCATAATGCTACTGATTTTAATGTCAGGATACAAGAATGTAAATCTTCCCATTTCAGCAATGAAAAATAATCAAAACATTGTCTATATTTGTTGAGCTTTAGAAACCAATACATGTTGGGGACCTGCTTAATTTATTAAGAGTGCAATTCTGCAGAACTGTTCCTTGCAAAAGCAAACAAATATATGATAAAAACAAGACCAGCACTAAATATTCCACATTAAAAATGAAGAAAATGTTAGTTATTAGGCAGAGCGCTCAGAGGCTGTTACTGATGCGATCAACTTTAACCATCATTTTTCCCCCACCAACAAAAGAATATAAAGTAAAAGTGGCTTGTTCTTCTATCTGGCAGGACAAGTGGTACAAGAAATGGTTTTGTGTAAGATGGTGAGATGTGGCCACCTACATACAAAAAGGTGGGTGTAGGGTAGGGTAGGGTGTGGAAAATTAGGCTAAATTGTTCCTGTTGTGTAAAAACATTAAAAAGCACCTGCTCCACTATCGTTGTTCCAGTTTGCTATCAATGTTTTTGACTTTCCCGATACATCTTTTTTTTTTGTAGTAAAATGTTTATTGCGTACTTCAGCAAGACAAGAGATCTTACAAAAAGAATGCACGTTACAAATCTCGGAGGTGCATCCAATATCACTGGTCAGATATTGCAGTATCCCAGCATAATAACAAATAATGAACAGTAAATAAGGAAAAATACTTCTACAGCATGTAATAAAACAATGGTAACTGGACCAGAGCTAGCTATCCATCTTGGGGAACCCCCTGGATATATAGACTCAGCAAGAGGAACAGGTTAAAGAAAAGAGGGGAAAAAAAAAAAAAAAAAAAAAAAAAAAAAAAAGGGGGGGGGGGTTAGGGAATACTCCTATAGAGAGTGTATGTGGAGAGGTGGGGAAATGGTAGGATAAACAGGAATAATACACAGCTGGGACATCGAGGCCTGACCCGACCCACACAATTCCCCTGGCCACTTTACTTTTGCTCAGCCTTCAGAGGATTACACTAAGGGAGAGAAAATTACCTATAGGTGGTTGTAGTCAGTGAGGTTATGGAAACACAACTTACATAAAAAATGGTAAAGAAACCTACTGCGATTCAGATGACTGCAATACTTGCAAAGTTACATATACAAGACGCTGCTTTAAAGTGATTGTGAAGATTATTTATTTTTTTTTAAATTAAAATAATAAATATGGTATACTTACCCACTCTGTGCAATGGTATTGCACAGAGTGGTCCTGGAACTCCTCTCCTCGGGTCCCCCACCAGAGCTTCTGGCTCCTCATCTTCTCAGTGTCTACTGACACACACAGCACGGCTCAGCCCCGCCCCCCCCCCCACTCCTTCATCACAGGATTTGATTGACAGCAGCGGAAGCCAATGGCTCCCACTGCTGCCTGTGTCATCTGTGAAAGGAGGAAGAAAATAGAGCAGGGCTGCTTGGAGGGATAGTGCTGGATTGAGTGGTGTCAGGTAATTGTTTGGGTTGGGGAGAAGATGCACAGGCAGGTAACAGTTTTTTACCTTGCAGAGAATGCATCATAGTAAAAGAAAAAAAACCTGTTTGATTTACAACCATATCCAATGGTAGGCCTTCTGCCTGTGTAATGATTCTAACTGAACCCCACCTTCCCAAATTGCCTATCTACAGGCTATGTCTCTGCCTAACTACTCTGCACTCTGATTTGCCTGCCAGCATTACCATTGGGGTAATCCCAAGGCTCAAGACCTGGAATTGTCATATACTGAAGCCCAAGGCTGGCCTTAGAGAACTCTTTTTCAAGGAACACGGGGCTAACAAAAATTAAAAACAAACACGGAACAGATTTTCCCATCCACATAAGCAAGGTGGATGGAGGAACCCTCCTCGCTGTGCCATTTATTTTCTGACAGGGAACTCTGCCACTGGCAGAACACAGCGATCAGCAGTCGCTGATCAAAAAACAATTTTCCAACATACCCAAGTTGAACCTTAGGTCAACTTCTATCCAGCAGCATGGCCATACATGGAACAAGCCGAATTTTGATTCATCTATGGACACTCAGCCCCGGGGATTCAGCGTAATCTCATGTCTTATTTTGGAAACAAAGGATCCTGAATACTCCTGGCATAAGAAATAAAAGCATAGGAAAAGATGGATGCAAAAGGCACAGATGTTCACTGAGAAATAACAAAACTGAAGAGAAAGCAATGTGATGTTAAGCAGGTTTTAGCACCAATTCCGGCATTTGTTTTCTCTGTGGACCTTGCTCTTTCTGCCCTGTGACATTTGAGGACACTGCCGTAACAGTCCTAATTCTCAGGATGTCACAGTGAATACATGTTAAAAAGGGGAATAGCTATGGAAACCTTTATTAAACTAGGAGGTCTTGATATTTGGCAATCGTGGGTGCAATGTCAAGCTCCTGCATACTCTTCCGCCAGCTTTCTGCCGTATCTCTGTACGGGACTTGCAGTTTATTCATTCACTTGATCATATAATGGTGGATGAGAGGGGGGTGCAGAACAAGTTAGTCCTCTTGCACACAGCATTTTGCTCAGCACCCCTGAATGCCCTTCCTTCTTCTACTAAAGGAAAAAAAAAAAAAAAAAAAAAGCATCCAAAACTGCTTACACACGGTTACATGCATTTAGGTGCATCAAGCATTTTTTTCTATTCAAGCGCTCCTCTCCTAAACATGCTGGCAAGAGGGTTTATTTTCAGCCTGTAAATGCTTCTCCTCCAATATGCCTGTAAACACCTATGTGTGCATGGCCACACATAGGCTAACATAAAAGTGCTTTTGCAGGCTAGGAAAAAAAAAAAAAGCCAAAAACGCCTTTAAGAGAGCCATTATTCAAGCCCTGTGTCCATGAGCCCTTACATGTTACACCCCAAATACAGGTGTAACATATACCTTGTTCAAAAGGTGAACTTATCCCTTAACACACACAAAAAAAAAAAAAAATCTTGCTAATACATTTACCTGCTTAACTGTAGTTGAATGTATTTTCCAAATCGACTGCTGTTGTTGTTCCTTAAAGTGCAGGCATTGCCTGGAAATAAAGTGGTGGGAGACATACCATTTTAGAAATTTATTTCACTGTAAATTTAATCTCAATACCTTTCAATAAGCGTTATTAGGATGTTCAAAGTTGTACAACTGACTAGAATGTGCTGTTTATTTGGAAAGTAGATTTATTAATTTGCTTTGATTTTTTCCCCACAAAAGTGGAGTCACCATTTAATGGATTGCTGCATCATCTCAATGTAGAAATCAAGTTAATTTCTGGAATTGTAATTAAAATGCTTAGTCAAAATCGTGTAGTATCTACATTAGGGTGGCATTAACATGTCAAACAATAAAATAACTTACGGGCTTCTATAGATAACTACCCATATATTCAACACTAAGGTGATATATTAGATAACTAAAATTACTTTTTTTTTTTTTTTTTTTCAAAATAAAAGTAGCCGCTAGTGCACCCAAACCTGATCTCATATCAGGATTAACTTCTAAATACAGTGATCAGTACAACACTACAATATAATATAATAATAATACACTACAAAATTAAAATCACAAAAAAGTGTGTATAAACAAGTTGGAATGGAATGCTTACATCCTTCTTTCCTTATGTAACCATCAAGTGCTCCAAAACAAAATGTGCAAATACTCCACCACCAGGTGTCTGCTCACCTCTCCAGCAATATGACCTCACATAATACTATGTTTGGTATAACTGCGCTTTTGGTCCCAGTATGGACACTGTAGATCGACTTGATGGACCCCAGCTATCATTCACAACTCGTCTGGAATTTAG